AGAGACAGCCTGGAATGGCAGTGGCCAGACCTGGAGAGGGGCGCACAGCCTGGTTGGCGGGTGGCAAGACCTCTGAGTTAATGTATAATTGTGAGCAGATGGCGGGGGCTGACGGCAGCTTGGGGCCTGAGCCCAGCTAATGAGGGACAATTAGCCCTGAACCCGGTGGGGGCAGTTGAGAGAGTCAGACGGTGAAGAGAGATATTTGCTTCTCAAACAGTCTGGCTCCCTAGGAAGAGGGCTGAGTGGCTGGACCTTTGGGCTGGCGAGGCCCCCCTGCCAGGGCCCTTTCCTCATTTTCCTACCCCCTTCACCTTTGGGTCAAAAGCTTCTGTTTGTTCAAACCCAGAGCTCGTTGTAAAGGCTAGGGGAAGAGGTGGTTTATGGGGGAAATCTCTGCCACCACCATCTGCCAGGGCTTGTGCCTTCTCCCCCCTACACCCCATCCCCTCCCTCATGCAGCTGTCTCTGGGAACAGTGGGTCAGGACTTGGAGCCTTGCACCCCTAGACCCAGGGGAAAATCCAAAAGAAGGGGTGAGGCAGAGAAGAGAGACTAAGAACGGGCTCCCAAGGAACCGTATGCTTTCCCGGGACCCTCCTCTTCCCCAGCCTGGCTAGGCAGCGACCCAGGACTGAATGGGTTATGTAGGCACTGGAACATGTGCTGTTCCGCTTATAGTGCGCCTGCTGCAGCCTCACCTCAGCCTGAACGCAGGAGGCTGGAAGGGGCTGAGAAGGAGGGAAATGCATAGGAAAACAAGGGCAAGGACAAGGGTACAAACCCACTTCTTGACACATTTAATCCAATTTTGAGAACACGAGTTTCCATCCCTTTGATCAAGCTGAATTACCAATGCTCACTCACTCCCTACATCAGAGCATTTCCCAGTGAAATCTTGTCTTCCCCTCTTTCACTTCTGGATTAGTCTTCTTGCCCCACATCCTGTTGTCTTCCGGACTGGCTCCTAGGAAGGGTTCACAGAATCTGAGGCATGGAATGGACCAGAGGAATTCTCAATGTTTACATCTTTATACCCACAAGGAGCATGCCCACGATGCTGGTGGCTACCAAGCTGCCATGCTCTGGGCTGTGTCTCCCACCCAGCATCCTTGCTGGAACAACCTACTCTACTTGACTCCTACTGTCCTTCAACCTACCATTGACCTCAGGATAATGACCCAGATGACTCATGGTGTCCTTTATGGGGACAGGGGCATTCCAGCAGCATCACGAATGACTTGGAGACTAAACTATCCCTGGAAGAATGGAGCTTGAGAACAAGTAGAGATGGCAGAAGTGAAACCGTGCTCCTCTGCTCCTCATAAATACCTCCTACGTATGTCTAACTACACTCAAGGGTTCATCCCACCTCTGCCATCACTGTCATTGCTACAAAGTCCAGGATCCCTCTGCTCATAGGCAAGGACTCATCCTTAGTATCAACTCCATAAAGGAACCAGTTGGAGAGCAGGCAAGGACACTAACTGTAAGCAACACACACTCTTACCCATGCAGTTTCATTCTCGCAGGGTTTCAGGGACCACCTTGATCAGTATCTGTGTCTATCTACTTATCTATTATAGTAGTGCATGTATCACCTAGGAGGTGGACTTAAAGTCTGGCTGGAATCTGGGTCTGGAAGGAGCCTTTGTGCCCTATGTCATTCATAGCTTTGAGGACACATTTTGGAATTCTCACCTTCCAAGCTCCCTCAGAAGCAATAGCACCTGATGTGGGGAAGCTCAGGGTCAGGGGAGCTCCCATTAGAGGGGTGTTGTACCAGCTTCAGGATGGCAGGGGGCATAGGATGGACTCTGAGGACACGCTGGACCATTGGTTGTGGATTACTCTGCCTCAGGGCCAGTGTCAGCCAACCCCATGCACACCTCCCTCCTCCTCTCTCCTCTGCTCATGGCCTGTGACATCACTGACTGCTCCCAGAAGGCTGCCCTCTGCTCTTGAACACAAGCTCTTTGTAGCTCTGGACCCCTTGGCAGGACAGAAGCAGGAACCCAGAGTAGAAGCTATCCCCAGGAGCAGACCACCATCCTTGGTACCTGCAGGAAGCCCAGGAGCTTGGTCAGGGATACTGAAGCCTTCCCCTGGGACTCCACCTGGTTGCCTCCACACAGGTACCAGTCCTGCAAACTCATTGTCTGCTCTCTCTCACATGCTGTCCCCTTGTCTTTGTGTGGCCAAGTCCAGCTTCTCTCCTCTGTCCTTGCTGCTGCCTGGCCTCCTGTTTCTCCATCCTTACCCTATTCCCCACCTTATGGACACTAGTTATCTTACCAGGCATGTTCTTGTGCCTGTTGAAAGTTGTGTGTGGTGGTTGGGAGTGGACTTTCTGTTTGTGAGTTGAGGCATGGAAAGGACACAGTTTTGAATCTGAGAGCCCACAGCTTGATGGCTTAAGTGGATAGAGTCCTGTGTATTCTGCACTCTTTACCCCTGTCCTAGCATACACACCCCTGCACGACCCCAGCTTCACTTCCCTCTCTCCATTGCTTTGGTGGCAAACACACAAACATTAAGCAAGGATCAGGGCAGAGAAAGAAAACCTCAAGCTATGAGTCAGAATATTGGCTTCTGTTGAGGAACTGGGTCCCCCCCTCCCCAGACTTTTTCCCCTGGCTGGCATCTGACTTGTGGAAATGCCTATCTGTGCCTCAAATGGATTTTGGTTGTTTTGTTTTTAAGCCTCTGCCTTCCTTCTTAATGTCCTAGGAAGCTGATAACTTAGACAGCATTGTATCTCTATGTGCTTGGAAAGGATTGAGCATAAGGCCGTTTAAGCAAGGAATTTAAAAACCAGGCTCTGACTTCCACACTCCTTGTGGGTTCATTGTTGTTCTACTGCTGCTGGTCTCCTCAGCTCCACTGCACTGTAATCTTTTGCAAAGCAGAGACCTTGTTCCTTTTCCTCTTTGCTTCTTCCTCCCAAACAATCAGCAGTGTCCTCATAATTAATACCATATTCACTTATCACTTGCAGACTGTTTAATTGAGCTTAGCTGGTTATTACAGGAAAGAGCTATGAATAAGCAGCCCCCTGGGGTGACCCTAGCCCCATGAGGGTTCTGGGAGTAAAGGAAGCAGCTTAGAATCACAGTAATGGCTGATGAGAGCACGGAAGCCATGGTGGCCCTGCTCAGAGGTTCTCTTGTGCCCGTGATGGCTTCTGTATCTTACTCCTGCCTCTCCTGTTTTCCCTTCAAGGTGCCTTCAGTAAATGCTTGTTGAACGTGGGAGAGTCTGATCCCCAGGATCGGTCCCTGAGAACACAGCCTCCGTGCCAGAGGACTGGGGACTCTTCAGAGTCAACAGCAACCCCAAACCCTAGCATGTTAGAGGCTGTCAGGAGAGATGCACTTCAGGGGAAGCCAGGCATTTACCTTGGTCTGAGCCCCAGTGCCTTTAGCAAAGGCTGGGCACAGGGAGCGCCCTGAAATGCTCTGAAAGGCAGCATCCTGGATGACGGCTCAGAGAATCAGCCTCAGGATTTTGGTGCAGTCAGAACCCTGAACTTGGGTCCTGGAAACTAGGTAACCTGAGATTTGGTCTGATGCCCTCCCTTGGCTGCCCTATTCACCCTTAGCTTACGTGGCAACTGTCCTGGTCCAAGTCTGTCAGTCAGGGCTGAGAGGAAGGTCTATGAGAGGTCTGTTTGGAAAAGAGGACCCCTGGGCCTTCAGAAGCATCACTCTCCTTCCATGTCCCTCACCTCTTGGGAAGGACGTGTGGAGAGCCAGACCCTTCCAGTTCCCGGACCTCTCTGCAGAAATCTAGAATGAGTCCTCAACAAGTCCTATAGTGCTTAAGTTTATGGCTGAAAAGTTCAGTAAAGTTAAATCTAATTTTCCTTATTTAGATGGCCAACTGGCATGTTAGACCCTCTGTCACCAGACTTTGTCTCATATACTTTGTATATGTTGTCAAGAGGGGCCATTCCTTGAAAAAAGATGTTGGGCTGGGAAAATGAAAGGGCCAATGAAAGAGATGAGACCCTCAACAAGACAGATTGACACAATGACTATCAATGGCCTTAGTGTCTTGGACATCGTGAGGATGGCAGAGGGTAGGGCCAAGTTCAGCTCTGTTGTTCACAGGGTTGATATGAGTCATAGTTGACTCAGCGGCACCTAACAATAACAACAACATCATAAAACACTACATCTCCTCAGGCCATTCCAAGTCAGAAACTTCAACCAAATAAACTCCAGGCTCATTGCAGGTTCAGCCCCAAGATTGGAGAAGGAACTACAAGTGCAACCTTCCCCAGTGGCAAGTCTCCCAGGCAGCTCTCTGAGCTTGGGTGAGGCAGGCTGGCCTGGAGCATGCAGCAAGACGGTAAGAAGCCTGGGAGGAGGGGAACGTCAGGGAGGGGAGCACCCTTCTAGGCTGCTTGGAAATCTTGGGGTGTGGGAGAAGGGAGGAAGGTGAGGGAAGACAATGAAGAAGGGATATTCTGCATAAAGGATAGACTCATATTTCCAAATTATTTTTCTGCTTTTGACCAGCAGGGGATGGAATGAGATGGGGTGTGGATGAACATGCTTGTTGTTATGTACTTGATTAGTAAGTGAAAGAGTATCGGTTCAAACTCGCCCTGAGGATCCTTGGAAAACAGACCCATTGACCTGCTTCCCCCACCTCTTCCCCTCGCCATCTACCTGCTTTAAAAAAATGCGCTTTGAAAATCCCAAGTGCACACAGGGTCGCTACACGTCTCAAACGCAACCGCAACTAACAGCAGCAACAACAACATCAGGACTTGCTTCCATTCCCCCCCCCCAGCTCATCTGTCCTCCCCCAGTTTCTAGGGGAGGTTTCCCCAGTCACCCCTCCCTGCCCCACTGCCTCCTGTCTTAGATCAACAAGGTCAGTCAACATGGTCAAGGAGCAAAGACTCATCTATAAGCCAGTTCCGAAAGAGAATGGCATGTTTTGTGGGAGGCCACTGTAGGTATGGTCTTCCATGCCTCACGTGGGCGGGGCATGGGGGAGACATGCGAGTCCTTCTTCTGCCCAGGCATCAGCAGCGTGAACCAGCTTGGGGGTCTCTTTGTAAATGGCAGACCTTTGCCCCTGGACACCCGGCAGCAAATCGTGCGGCTGGCCATTAGCGGGATGAGACCCTGCGACATCTCACGGAGCCTCAAGGTGAATATGTCAGTGATGAGGACAAGCAGGCTAGAATCTGGGGTGTTCCACACTCTGGGGGCATTGAGGACCCAGGCTACTTCCTAGAAGACCCTCTTGGATGCTGGGGAAGGGAGCGGCAGGCACCCAATTGGGAGAAGGGACCTCCAGCCCTGCAGCCTGCGCAAGCGAGTCCTGCAGCCTCATTCTGTCCCAGAAGCGCTCACCCATCCGCCTCACCTGTCCTTTCCTCCACCTGACCCAGGTCTCTAATGGCTGTGTGAGCAAGATCCTAGGGCGGTACTATCGCACAGGGGTCTTGGAGCCCAAGGGTATTGGGGGGAGCAAGCCTCGCCTGGCCACACCCACTGTGGTGGCTCGAATCGCCCAGCTGAAGGGCGAGTGTCCAGCTCTCTTTGCGTGGGAGATCCAACGCCAGCTGTGTGCTGAAGGGCTCTGCACCCAGGACACGACTCCCAGTGTAAGTGGCCCTGTCCCTGCTGGCACTGGCAATAAGCTTTCAGGGTGGGGCCATGAGTTTGCACTTGATTGGTAATCTGTGTGTTAGTGGTTGATTTAATCGTGCCACGGGAGAAAAGCTAGCTGCTTCTGCACGGGGTGATAGATAGAAAATGCAGCCATTCTACCCTGCAATACATGGGGTCACCATGCGTTAGAGCTGACACAGCGGCAACAGGTTTGATCTTGCTGTTGGAGAGGATACGATTCCTTCCTGTTTGGTAATGTGGGCGTCCAAGGTTGGGTGTCAGGGTTCCCAGGCTCTCTAATGCAGGACTGTCTCTTCTTAACACTGGTGGTTGAGAGAGTTAAGAAGAAAATGCTGGGGAGAGAGAAGGCTGCCCTTGGAAAGATGGGCAGGGGCACTGGGGAGAGTATACAGAGGGAAATAGTCTCAGGATGCAGCTCTGGCTCAGGCATCATCTCAGCACCCAACTCTCCCCAACCTACCCAGATCTCCTCCATCAACCGGGTCCTGCGGGCACTACAGGAGGACCACGGACTCCCCTGGCCACAGTTCCAGCCACCAGGTGGGTCTGTGGGCTGCACCTGGGATAACTGCAGCCAAAACGCCAGCATTACCATCTTCAGAGCCTTTGAAGTTCTTTCTTGCATTATCCTTAAAACAATCGAAAATGGGGGAGGGCCTGGAAGTGCCTATTCTCTCCTGTGACTCATAGGGACCCAATGAACAAAAGGCCTGAAGCCTTTTTATAACTATCAACATTTATCAAAGTTAGTAGAGTTTCCAGAGGCATATTGTTTAGAAAGTGGATGCCACTCCTGCTTCCTAGTGGAAGATATTTGAGGTGCACTGAAGGGAAGTAAAGTGACTTGCCCAGGTTCGCCAGGTTGTGATTACAGGTTCTCCTATCCCCAGGGTCACAGGACAGGCTGAGTAAGAATGAGAATTGGTTTTTGGTGTTTGGGTTTATTGTTTGTTTGTTTTAAAAATTTTATTTTGCTACTAGTTTATTTACAAAATTCAAATACAAATTTGAACAAATTCTTTCCATTTCCCTCACCCCTCCACCAATCAAATTGTACAACCCAATGATTAATCCCCCCTCCCCCCTGCACATCCACACCCCTCTTCTTTCAACCTCTCCTACCTTCCTGGATCCTTATACTCATTCTACAATAATGGTTCTATACAATATCTATTCTTATGGGACTGAATTCACTCAGCATAATGCTCTCCAGTCCCTCCCAAGTTAGGTAATAATTTACAGAGTTGTTGTTCCTGCGTGCTGCATAGTATTCCATTGTGTGAAATGTACCATAATTTCTCAGTCCATTCATTTGTGGTTGGACATTTGGGCTGTTTCCATGTTCTTGTGATGATGAATAATGCTGCTATGAACATTGGTGTAAAAATCTCAGTTTGTGCCTCAATTCTCATTTTCTCAGGGTATATTCCAAGTAGTGGAATAGCTGGGTCATATGGAATTTCTATATACAGGTTTTTGAGGAAGCGCCAAACTGCCTTCCAGAATGGTTATACCATTTTACAACCCCACCAACAATGTATGAGTTCCTTTCTTACCACATCCTCTCCAACATCTATTACTTGCTGCCCTGTTAAACTTTGCCACTCTTACTAGAGTGAGATGGTACCTCTTTGTGGTTTTGATTTGCATCTCTCTTATTGCCAGTGATTTGGAGCATTTCTTCATGTGTCTGTTTGCCATTTGAATATCTTCCTCTGTGAAAATTCTTTCCATGTCTTTTGCCCATTTTGTAACTGGGTTATGACTTCCTTCTGCCTCATGCACAGAGCTTCTCAGAGCTTCCCTCCAGTTTTGTAGTCAGGCATTCTGGATGAACCCTGCTACTTTGTCCCCCCTGTACTAATCCCATACCTCACCCTGCTATTGATCACGTCTCCCATCAAGTGTTCCTGCAGTCACCTCCAAGCAACTGTGGATGCCCCAGCCATTTGCCTCTGCTTGTTTACCATTTCACCCCTTCTCCCCGAGCCAACTTCAGGGTCTTGGGATCCACGTGGCAAGAGGAACCATCACCACAAAACACCACAAGCTGCTCTTGTTCTCTGCAGTTGTTTTGGCTCCAGTTCCTCCTGCTCCCCACAGTGGTTCCAAGGCCCCTCGGGGTCCTCACCCAGGGACTGGCCACCGGAATCGGACCATCTTCTCCCCAGGCCAAGCCGAAGCACTAGAGAAAGGTGCTGGGGCAGGGTCGACAGTGGGTCAGAGGGCGCTGGGCATGACAGGTGAAGTCAGTGGGCCTGGGCCTGGGCAAGGCGGCAAAGGCTGAAAGAGAGGCTGGGGTGGGGGCTTATGCTGGTGAGGGGGGCAGTCAGGGCTGTAGCAATTGGAGAGCAGGGTCTGAGGGAAGACCCAAACCTGCTTCTCCCCCTTCACCCTCAACTCTGCGAGCCTGATCCCTGCAGAATTCCAGCGTGGGCAGTATCCTGATTCAGTGGCCCGTGGAAAGCTGGCTGCTGCTACCTGCCTTCCCGAGGACACAGTGAGGGTGCGTGAGATTTATGACACAGGGTGCACAAACTATTAAGGTAAAGAGTCTGTGCCACACAGAGCTTTGGTTTCCCACAAGAAGAACAGGGAGACAAGAAGGTGGGAATAGATGTGTCTGGGTTGGGCCTCATTTGGTAGTAGCTCTTCTCCTTCTCCCACTTCATGCCTTTGAGTTGAGAGAGGAGGCAAAGAGCAAAGGCCAGAGGCTGGAATCAGGCCAGTCCCAAGGAAAAGTGTACACTCCATGTTCAGGACAGGAACACGTGGCAAATGGAGGACAGTGAGTTACCAGGCAGGAGAGGGCATGGCTCGCTCCACTGTCCCCACCATCTTTCCTCAGGTCTGGTTTTCTAACCGAAGAGCTAAATGGCGTCGGCAAGAGAAACTCAAGTGTGAAACACAACTACCAGGTGATTGTTCTATGTCCTTACTTATACACCCCTCCATCCAAGTATCCATCCATCCATCCATCCATCCATCCATCCATCCTCCATCCATCCATCCATCCATCCATCCATCCATCCAACCATCCATCCATCCATCCAAGCATCCATCTATCCATCCATCCATCCATCCATCCATCCATCCATCCATCCATCCAAGCATCCATCCATCCATCCATCCATCCATCCATCCATCCATCCTTCATCCATTATCCATCCATCATCCATCCATCCTTCATCCATTATCCATCCATCATCCATCCATCCATCCATCCATCCATCCATCCATCCATCCATCCAAGCATCCATCCAAGTATCCATCATCTATCCATCCATCCAATCTTATCCATTTATTCCCTTCTATTTTTGTTCACACATTTTATTCTCATCTGTCCATACCCTCCCATCCATCATCCCCTCCCATCCATCCATCCATCCATCCATCCATCCATCCATCCGCAGTCCCTCATCCTTATCCATTTATCCATTAACCATCATCCATTCCATCCATGCATAAATCCATCATCTATCATCTGTCCACCCGCCCACCAATCCATCCATCCTCATATCCATCCACTCCCATGAATTCATCTATCCATCCATCTACCAAACATGTACTTAACATCTCTCAAGTACTAACACCATAGTAGATGCTGAGCATACAGTTCCTGTTCTTCTCGGCTGTGTTGTTACGTGCCATCAACTCAGAACTGATCCGTAGCTGCCCTTCCAGCTGGTTTTCAGAGGCAGTAAATCACACAAGAGGAGACTGCCCGTCCTTCTTCCATGGAGCTGCTGGTGGATCCAAACTATATACCTTTGGGATTGCAGCACAGTTTCATCCTTAAGATTTGGTCTTTTTCCCCCTGGGGGTTCCTCATCCCCTCTCCTCACCCGTGTAAGAAGTTGCTGCCTTTCCTAGATCCTTTATCTGACCTGACTCACCATCATACATATTCATCCAGTTCATTCTTTCTCTGAGTGGTTCCACCTTTACCTTCTAGGTACTTCCCAGGATCTAAACGGACCAGCTGCTTCCCAGGGTCTTGCTGGACCAGGTGCTTCCTCAGGAATCCTGACTGCACAGGTGCCCAGGAGGAGATGGAAAGTTGTGAGCTGGGGGGACTTCCAAGAGCTCACTGCCTCCCTTATTTCTGGCTCAGGCATGCACTAGAGTCCTTAGCTCCTTAAGGCACCCGGAGTGCATGCTTCCAGAAGGCGCCATCCCCACAGTCTCCTCTGGAGTTGTGCAGGATACTTACTGCATTGTGGAGAGCCCTGGGGCCCATCTGCTAATCAGAGGCATCATCTGTCAATTTTTCTAGCAGTCCCCTGGCAGTGTGTCCACAGTAGCTCTGCCTGCTCTGGAGGCCCTGGGTCCTTCCTGCTACCAGCTCCACTGGGGGGTAACACCTGACAGAAGTTTGAGTAACACCTCACCCCAAGCTTGGTTCGAGTCCTGCTGGGGTAAGAATCCCAGACAGGCCTTCGTCCTGGGAGTTGTGGGAGGGGCGATGGATTTCTAATCCACGGGAGAATATGGATCTTCAGCTGAGACCATCAAACGCACTTTGATAAAGGTCTTTCTCATGCTTTGAGTGAGTCTCCTCAATTGGAGAAGGCTGTGCTCCCCTGAGGCTGCAGTACCATTGATGGAGGAAGAGAAGAAAGGGGGTGGGATTAAGATTTGAGTGCGTGTATTCAAGCCAGGGTACCAATGTCTTAGTGCTCCTCCTTTCGGGATGTTGAGAGGTGGGGTCGGAGCAACAAGCCCAGGCTTCACCTCCATGTCTCTACAGGCTGCTTGTCCCCAGACCCGAGTTCCCTGGATTCAGTTCAGATTTGCCAGCCTTGCTTTTCCTTCCACTACCCCTGTCGCCAGTCTTGGTGCCCACCAAGCCTTGGCATGGCCTGGCTCCCTACCCCTACGGGCCTAGAATGAGGGAAGAAGACAAGAATAGAAGAAGGGGGAGAGAGAATCTAACACACGTCTAAGGAGGTCACTGCCCCTTTCTCCTACCTGCCACCTCCTCATCACCTGTGGACCTTGCCTCACCTGCCTCGATGCCCTCATATGTATCACCTGAGGGGAAGGGCTCGAGAGGCGATGCCCATCCATCTCTCACAGTGAACCTAAGATTCCTCTCCATAGCAATAAAAACTTTTCTTTTTTATTAATAGAGGCTCTTGTTTTCTATCATATTTCTCATGTACACCCATACATCATTACCCCTTGCTTTAATATTTGTAAACTATTTTCTACATTTTTCTCTAAATCCTCTTTCTATATATTTACCTCCTCCCTGCCCTCCTTTCATCTCTATCACTATTATCCATCTACTATCAATCTACTATCAGCTATCTATCTTGATGTGTGGGTTCTCTCTCTCTCTCTCTCTCACACACACACACACACACACACACACACACTGATGTTACATCATGTCTCTTCACCTCTAAATCCTTTAGCACACATCTCCAAAAAATTAGGACCTTCTCATGCATAATCATGATACCATTACCACATCTAAGGACATTTCTAGTAATGCTTTAATCTAAGAAAATAGACAATAATTCCATAATAGCATATGTATTTTTCCATAGCAGCACACAGAGTGGAAATGCCATTTTTCATATTCTGCTTTTTCAATTATGAATGCCCCTGGGGCATGTCTGCATAGCTCTCCTTGGAAGCAACTTCCAAATCTTCTCAATTATGTTCCCCCGCAGAGAAAGCCCTAGGCTCCTCCAAGGAAGTCTGGGGCTATAGGAGGGCGGAGGGTTGTGGGGGAAAGTGAACAACGTGGAGAATATTCTGAATGGGAGATGGGATCATCCCTCCAAATTCTTTTTCTCATGTGGAGCAACAGAATGATGATGGTGCAAGGTGAGGTGGGGGTGAACCTGATAGCTGAGTGGAAAGGCATTGTCCTGCCAACCCAAAGGCACACAGTTCAAATCCACCAACTGCTTTGTGGAAGGAAGAGAGACAATTTCCTTCTGTGTGAATAACACCCTCTGAAAACCTGCTGAGAATCATCCACGAGTTACTTTTGACTCGACAGTACCTGACAACATAGCAGTGCACTCTTAGGTCGTCAGGTACTGATCCAAAAGCTGTCCTTCAAAAGGCCTCTCTACCATCAAATATACTAGATTCAGTCTGTTCAATGCATTGGCCACCAACCATTCATGTCTATGTAAATGTACAAACTGAATAAAAAGAATAATTCAGTTCCTCAGCTGCACTGTTGTTGTTGTTAAGTGCCCTCAAGTCCTAGAAGACTCACAGTGACCTTATGAACAAAATCCCTGAACACTTGTATAGCTTTCATCGTTTCTCCAAATTCATAAAGTTTCCAGAGACTAGCCATTTCAGAAATGGATGTCACTCCTGCTTCCAAGCTTCTTTTAATCGGGAAGCTCCACCAAACACAGCCCCCCATGGGTAACCATTCACGCATTTGACACCAGTGTCAAATCAGTGACATCAGTGTCACAGTGGTCAGCATCACAGCAACCACGAGTTACCTCTGTACAGTAAATGGACAGACTAGTGCTATATGACTTAGAAGAATGCTTTGACCAGAAACAATTAAAACCAGGCCTGAGGGCTGCAGGTTAAAATCACCCACCTTTGGCTTGGTAGCATCACTTCCTGTCCACGAGGCCCAGGTGGGTTACTAGATCCATTTTAAATGCTCCAAAGTCGCATGAGGCTAATTGGCAACTGTATTGTGGAGCGTCAAGATGAAACAGCACTCCCACCAGGGCAGAACGTCCTCCGGGGCAGTGCAGCTCCAGCGTGAAATGTCTGCCATTTCTTCAGCACACCCTGTCCCTCTCCTATCTTTTTCTTCCTCCCCAACTGGAAGCTTTGCAGACAGAGCTGCCCCAGGGAAGAGGGAGGTTTTGTTGGCTGGCTGGACAGAGCCACCTGTGAGTGAGCCAATCACAGTAATGACAGGACTTGTGTGGGCAACGCCTTCTCCACTGAGGCTTCCAAACTGAGCCCCTGCAAGCAGAGGGTCCATGACCACACGTGGGGCTCAGGGTAAGTGTAAGCATGAAAGTGCATGTTTGTGTGTGCACGCAGGTGTGTACACAACACAGCACTTGAGTGTGTAAATGTGTCTCTCCAATGCTGTGGCAGGAAGTCCCTATCAAATGACCCATCAGGTCCCCCTTGCATAGTATACCCTACCCCAAGGCTTGCCCTGCTTTGCCTTGATCTCTCAGGTTTTCAATCTTTACTTACTGGATTAGAACATAAAAACTAGTTTTTTTCTATTTCTTGAGGAGAAAACACATTTATAGAACCTTAACTTAGGGCACGAGAGGGAAATCTGACCAGGGTTTGAAATGCAGTGTTGTTCTTGTTGTACTTAGTTGTGGTCAATGTCTATTTATGGCAAGTGGTTTTGATTTTCCATTTATCCTAATCATAAAAATATTTATTTCTAAATAAAGGTAGTTAAGAGTCTATATCAATTCAAAGCATTAGTAGGGCAGATGGCAAGTAGATACTAAGATGATAATAATAATAATAAATAAAAGTGCAAGAATGACAGACATTTTGATGGAAAGAACAGTGGACTTTAGAGTTAGAATGACTGAATCAGAGATCTAATTTTGCTGTGAGTAGTCAAGGGATCTTGGACAAATTACTTCAACTCCCTCTAAAGGGTTGGAAATGGCAGTCAGTGAAGTACACGTCATGTTCACCTTACTAGATCAAAAGTAATGATAAGGGAGGAATGATTGGTAACCATGGGGCAGGGGCCAGGTAGACATAAGATGTTATTACTGTTGGACTATGCCCACAGGATTACTAATTATCCATTCTTTCTAAACCAAAAGGCTGCATGTAGAGTCACATGTGGCTTCTGAATTTCTGAGGGCAAGGCTAGACTAGACGAGGTCACTGGGAATGGTGTACTGACTCTCCTAAGGATGAGAAGGACCTCTGAAGACACTGGTTCTTAGCCAGCCTCCCCTTTTCTGGGTAGAGCTCAGAGCAGCCTGGAGCCCCAGTCTTCACCCTCTTCGAACCCCCTACTGTGTTCTCAGTCACAGGCACACAGGGTTCTCGGGCGTGGCCTGTCGGGATGTATTGTTTCTCGAAACAGGTGTCCTGCTAAACCAGGTAGGAAAATTCGGGGAACAGATATTCTTCTCATGGCTCTTGACTCTGGGGTTCCTGTTCCAGTTAGTACATTAGTTTCTCCTGGAGGTTTTGGGTTCTGGCAGGGAGCATCCCACTGACCTGGAGACAGAACAGGATGTTTATCAGCTATTGACTGACTTCCGGGTTGTGGAAGAAAACTTAGCAAGGGTCTATGGGAGAAGAGAAAATAGAGAAATTTGTCTCGTTCTTGGGGAAGATCCAGAACTATACAGGCCTGTGTGAAGTTGATGTGTAGGGGAAAGTTGCAAAGGTCAATTAAAGATCAAACGAATGGTGCCAAGTCATTAGAGTTGGACTTCAGCTGACAGGTCAGATGTGAGACTGAGCGGGGTTGGGGAAGGCTTCTGATACAGAGTGACCGCAGTGCAGAAGCCAGGGTTTCTAGCAAGCAATTTATAGTCACTATCTTAGGTCTTATTTGCAACAACTTTCTGAGATACATACTGTAATCTATGAGAAAATGAATCTGAAAGGTTTACTTGTCCATGGTCAAACCATGAATTTAGCTGATAAAAATCTAATTAGAGCCCAATTTTCCTTGAATCCAGAAATGAGTTCTTCATCATCACAATACACTCTCTCCCAGCACACCAAGACATGATGGGACCTGAGAAATTTCACTCGATATAAACTCTTCACGGAAGAAAGAAGAAACTGGAGCCCAGGAGGATTCTTTTACATGTCTCCACTTGACCATTTCAAGTGTTCATAGCTAAAACTAGTAGAAAAATGAAGATGAACCAGGTATGGAGGGTCTGTGTTTAGATTCAGATTGTTATTTAATCTTCATAGTACGCTATGATATAGATGTTGTTATTGTGTGATGTTGAGTCAGAATCAACCCACAGCTGACCCTCCACTGGGTTTTCAGAGACAATCACATGGGAGGAGACTGCCCAACCTTCTCCCATGGAGCAGCTGGTAGACTTGAACAGCATGCCTTTGGGATTGCAGCACAGCTTCTTACCACCGGGCCACTAGAGCTCCCTATGGAGTAGATGGTATTACCAGTTTACAGATAAGGAAATTGAGACTTAGAAATGTTAAGTCATTTCTCTAAGGTCCCAGAACTAGTACACTAGGCTTCCTAGCTCTAGATTATAGGTCTGTATGACAGAAAGCTCAAGTTCTTCCTACAACACCCCTTTGACATCAGCAAAGTGGGTGACTGTGAAGGAAAAGAACTAGAAGCAATAAGATGACGGGAAGAGGTATGCGCGAGAGAGTGCTGGGTTAGGAACGCATTACAAGAAAGGCCGCCTGGTCGCATTTGAGGGCAGTGGTGGCTGAGTGGGAGAATCCTTCATTTCCATGCAGTCTATCAGACACAAGCAGTTCAAATCCACCAGCTTCTCTGTAGGAGAGAGATGGTCAGTCTCCTCCTGTGTGATTTACAGCCTCTGACAACCCACTAGAGGGTCAGCTATGAGTTGGTTCTGACTTAACAGCAAATAACAACATAACAGGAAGGAGACACAGTTCGATTCCTGGCCAGGGGAGCGCAAGTGTAACCACCATCTGTCTTGACAGTGGAGGCTTGCATGCTCCATGATGCTGAATGGAGCTTCCAGACTAAGACATAGGAATAAAGGCCTGGCAACCTACTTCTGAAAACCAGTCATTGAAAAAGAATCCAGGGATCACAATGGAGCTGTCTCATTGTGTGGGTTCACTATAAGTTGGGGGCTGACTTGATGATGGTGAACAGCTTAGTGGGGTGTTTGTGTGACAAAAGGGCCTGGAGGGGAACAGAAATGATACAGGGGATGCCAGGGAGAGTGGTGCAGGCTCTTGATGAAATGTCTGGAGTCCAAGAGTGGCAGCGGTCAATGTTAAGGATGTTAAGGAAACATTAAAAACATGTTCAAGGTGTGTTGAAGGGAGACTCAGCAACGGTGCTCAGTCCTTGAACCTGAGATTCTAGGAGACCTGCAAAGCTCGAGATGGTCATAGGAGGCTGGAAAGAAGAGAACAAGGAGTCTAATTCCAGTTCTGCCAGTTTAGATGGGATGGCAAGATGCAGTTACATGAACTGTGTACACCAGTAAGTTTTCAGAGCTAGAGAGAACTATCTTGGAGCCATCAGCGCCCTCAAAGATCCTGGAGGGGTAGGAACAGAGAGGATACACAGAGACCAGAAAGCACACCCTCAAAGCACACCTTTTGGCACCTACACCCATGCTCAGAATCACCCTCCTCATCTGTAAATGGGGTGACATTCTATACATCCTATACCATGGGGCTCTGGTGACTTAGTGGTAAGGAGTTGTGCTGTTAACCCAAAGGCACACGGTTTGAATCCACCAGCTGCTCTGCAGGAGAAAGACGGGCAATCTTCACTCGTGTACTGCCTCTGAAAACCCTCTGGAGGGTCTGCTGTGAACTGGTTCAGACTCGATGGCATATGATAACAAATTCTATACCTTAGTGAGATACAGAAGCCCAAATGCACCTCATCCTGTCCCGCTGCACCCCCATACACCTCTGCCCCAGGTTTGCTTAGAAGCACACATCTGTGTGGCTTAAGTGAGAAATTAAGATCTAATTTCTCTCCTTTCTCTAGAAAACCCAGGTTTAGACGTTCAGCAAGGACTTGGCACAGACTTGGAAGCAAAGCCTGGACTGATTGCCTTGTATACAGAAGCCAGCCTGAACATGAATTTTGTTGGGTTTTTTTTTAGTTTTTTTTTATTTTATTTTATTATTTTTGTGTATGTGTACTGTCAAATCGGATCTGACAGGTACAGGAGGAGACTGCCCCTCCTTCTCCAGCAGAGCATCTGGTGGATTCGAACTGCATACCTCTGGGATTGCAGTGCAGCTTCTTGCCCGCTAGGCCACCAGAGCTCTCTATGAACATGAATTTTGGTCTTCCTATTACACATGTCCCATCCACCTCCATTCTCCTCTTGCCCCTCAGCCCCTGTCCTCACCTCCAGATCCTTCCCCACTCAATCTTACCTAAAACTCCCAGATACACTCTTTGGTAATGTCTTCGCTGTCTGCCAACAGGGTGCCGCTCCTGTCGGCGCGCAGGTAGAAGCCATTGGGCGCCAGGACGGTAAGCAGGTTGCTCCCCTGAAGCTCGATGCAGAAGTTGAGGGCAAACTTCCCCCAAGGGCGGAAGGTGCCAAAAGATGTAATGGACCAGAAGGCTCCACCCTGTGCTGGGGCGGGAAGGGCTCAGTCGGTGGGGGTCGTGTACAGGGCGGCCCTCCTGCACGGCAGCTTTTGCATACACTCCACAGCGGTGAGGACGTGACATGTGACCTGGCCACCCCACCCTGGCAGTGTGGGCAGGCCTTTCTAGGGAAGAGCAGAGGTCACCCCACTAACCCCCCCCCCGGAAACAGGAAACCCCATTTCCCCTTCCATGACGAGCAGGCCCTGAGATTCGAGCTGGGGGGGAAGGTGAATGGACTGCATCATGCAGCCTGGAGGAAGGGAGAGGTGCTCCTCACCCTGGAAGTGGTAGATGCCCTGGCGGCAGGGCAGCAGGTGGATACAGTCGGGCTGGTCCATGTTGCACTGCATGAGGTCATGTTCTGAGGAAGTGCCCACGTACCCATATCGCCCGCGCAGTGCCAGGAAGGGGCGGTTGGCTAATCGGATCCCAAATTCCTCATGGGGGCCTGTGAGAAATGGGGAGGGTTTGTGTACAAGAACTGCCTCTCAATGTCTTCTGATCACAGCAGGAGGGGAAAGGTTGGAGACAAAAGGCTGTCTTTACTATTTGAACATGTAATGAACAAGAAGGATTGACACCGTGACTGGAACCACATATCAGAGATGATGAGGATGGTACAGGACAGGGCAGGGGTCAGAGCTGTTGTTCACAGAGTGGCAGGAGTCACAGTCAACTTGATGGTCAACAACAACAACAACAAGAAGTAGGTGTCAGGTCTTCTGTTAGGAATTGGTCAGATGTTTGTAGAGGCACCAAGCATAGTGTTAAGCTCAGTAAATACAGGCAATCTTTCTCCTTTGAAATATGTGTGTCTGAGGCTCACAATAAGCCTGTGAGGCAGGCAGAGTGGATATCAAGTCCTCTCTTACAGATAAAAACCCCTCAGGCTCAAGGAGGTAGCTTGAGCAGGGATGACATCATTTCAGTGCTGGAGCAAGAACATAAACCCAGGTCTTCTGACTCAAAGCAAAGGCTACCTCTCTCTCTCTTTCCCAGAGGGGTGCTTCCTACCAGAAGCATCCTTGACCTGGAGTTACCTGCTGGGCCACTCGGCTCACCTGGAACGGTGGCATTGGCCACCAGGAGGCCATTAGCCATGATGCTCAGAAAGCGCCCGCTGGAGGACTGTAGTATGAGCCGGCCGTAGTTCCAGTACATGCGGAAGAAGGTGTCGGACTCCAGAGGGTGCCCGTCGGCCATCAGTGTCCTATGGCGCCGCTAGAAAGAATAACAGGAACAGGGAGGGGAAGTGAGGCGTGAACATCTCAGGGTTCTTCCCATCATTCTAATTCCCAGACTCTCTACCTCGCATCCAATCCAGCCTTCCTCTCACCCCGAGGCATGCTTTATACTTTCAGATGTTTTATGGGGAACATGGTGTATCCTTCAACTCCCATTGCCCGTCTGTGCTATATTTCCGAGCCTAGCATCAAAGGGGTCTGGGTATCTGTATGGAGGCAAAGTAGCTTTGGCCCTTATGCCAAAGTTATCTAAAAATAGATCAAAGCCACAAATGTGAAAGCTAAACAATAAAAATTATAGAAGAAAATCTTTGTGACTTTGAGGTAGGCAATGATTTCTTGTCCACATTTTTACTTGAAAAGGACTAGCCATATACATGAGCTTCAGTGGCAGAGTCTGTAGGAAACTGTGTTTCTAATCTCCAAAATGGCATCTCTCTGGAAATTTTCATCCACCAGCAGTGCTGGGACAGAAAGATGGAGCTTTCCTCTCCCTTAATTTACAGCCTTGGTCACCCAGTGGGGGCTCAGCAATGATGTTCCCATTTCATCTAAGACTTGAATGCTATAAATCTCCCTGTAAGCACTGATTTAACTTAAATAGTATAACAGACTATAAGGTTTCTTCTTGTTGTTGTTATGTGCTGTCGAGCCACCTGTGCCCCATGGTGATCCTGTGCACAGCAGCTCTAGTTCTTATCAGGGGAATCTAATCAGAGTTACAAAAGATCCATACCGAGAAAACTACAAAATACAAGAGACCATTCTAAATGGAAGAATATGCCAGGCTCATTGATCTATAGATGTAACATTATTTTTTTATTGAAACATCAAAAGCAGTCTACAAACACCAGTCTAGATCCCACCATCAATCATCAGAGAGAGAAAAAGTCATCACCAATTTTAGATGGGAAGGAAAGACAACCCAGATAAGAAAATGCTACCAAAGATGCAAAGGTAGAGAAACGTAGTGCCTTACATGGCCTGATTTCAAAATCTTCTATGCAACCAAAGCAAGAAAACCAGTTTGGTGCTGATACAGTGATAGGTATACAGACCAGCGAAACAGAATTGAGAATCTAAAAAGAAATCTATCCACCTACAGACAGCTAAATCTTTGACAAAGAGTTGAAATCCATTAAGTTGGGGAAAGTCAACTCTTTAACAAATGGTGCTGGTAAAACTGGATCTCTATCTGTAGAAAATGATAACAAAGTCCATACCTTGTATCATCCACAAAAAATGAACTTAAGCTAGATCAGCCAACTTTCCCAATGTAGTATGTCTCCTGATCACCTGACTGCTGGTACCAAGGGTCTTCACTGTGGACCTAAGATGAAGTTGTTGACAACTTCAATCTTTTCTCCATCTATCACTAAGGTATGCCTGATCCAGGCATGGTCTTCACAATTATTTATTATGCATCAATGCATCTGAGGGCTGGATAATGACTAAGAATGACAGAAGAAGAACCAATGCCTTTGAGTTTGGTGCTGGAGAAGAGTATTGAACATACCATGGGCCACCAATAGAATAAACAGGAGAGTGTGGCTAGGATTTTGAAGCTCCATCTCATATACTTAGGTCATGTGGCAAGGAGGGACTGGTCCTTGGAGAAGGACATATGCTTGGAAGGGTGGAGGGACAGAGCAGGAGGGGAATAGATTGACACAGTAACTGGGGCAATGGGGATAGGTGTGTTGAAGGCAGTGAGACTGGCTCAGGACAGGGCAGGCATCAAGGCTGTTGTGCATAGGGTTGCTATGAGTTGCAGGAGACTCAACAGCACATAACAACAACAATAATCATCATGATGTTGCCTATGTTGCCAGCGATGAGGATTCCCCCCCCTTGATGTTGAGATATAATCCACAGTCTTTGATCTTTTTCAGAAAGTGCTTTGTGTTTTCACTTTCTGCAAGCCAAGGTTTTGTCATCTGTATAATGAAAATTGTTGAGGAGCCTTCCTGCAATCAATCTTGATGCCACATCTTCTTTATATAGCCCAGATTTTTGAATGATTTGCCCAGCATACAGATTGAATAGGTAATGGAGAAAGCCTACAACCCTGAAGCACACCTGTCTTGGTTTTAAACCATACAGGATCTCTGTTCTGTTTGAATGATTGCTTCTTGGTCTATGTACAGGTTTCACGTGAGTACAATTAACTGTTCTAGATTCTCCATTCTTCTCAATGCCAGCCATAATTTATTATGACCCACACTGTCAAATATCTCTGCATACTCAATAAAATACAAGTCTTTCTGGTACTACTCTCTGCTTTCAGCCAAGATCCACTTGACAGTAGACATGATATCCCTCATTCCATGGTGTCTTCTAAACCCAGCTTGAATTTCTGACAGTTCTCTAACAATATACTGTTCCAGACATTTTTAAATAATCTTCAGTAAGATTTTACTTACATGTGATATTAACAATATTGTTAAAAAGTTTCCACATTGATGGAACTCCTTTTCCTGGGATAAGAACAAACACATATCTCTTCCAGTCAGTTGGCCAGGTAGATGTCTTCCAAACATCTTGGCATTCACTAATGAGCACATCCAGGGCTGCAACTGTTTACTACAACACTTCAGTTGGTATTCCATCGGTTTCTGGGGCCTTATTCATTGCCAATGCCTTCAAAGCAGGTTGGCCTTCGTCCTTCAGTGCCATTGTTTGTCGTCCAGTACTGCTAATGGAAATTGTTCTGTGTTGGTGAATTGTTTTTGGCACAGTGACTACATATGCAATTGAAATGAACAATCAGCAGGGTATAAGCTAGAGGATTGACTCCTCATAAAAATGAAATCCAAGTGCATCAGAAGATTTCTCCAAATGACTAGAAAAAGAGCCTATTGACCGGAAAAAAATATGTGGCAATGACATATTTGACAAGGGACTGATCTGTAAAATGTAGAGAAAACTCCAACATCTCAGCAAGAAAATGATAAAAAATCTAATGACAAAGTGGGCAGAGGACATGAAAATATATTTCACCAAAGAAGACATTCAGATGGCCAACGCATACATGAAGTCTGGAGAGATGGGTTCAATAATGTATACTGCACTGAAACAGAGGAGGGAGAGAACCGTTTAAAAGAGAGATATAACTGGGTATTTCTGTCATCACAGGAGACTAGAGCGAGGGCTACATGGTGGAGGGGACCTGGGGGAGGGTTTGTAAAACGAAAGAAGCTTTTCTTTTACTTTTCCATAATTTTTGGACTCATGTACTTATAACTTGTTAGTCAAATTTGTGTCTTCTAGGTTGCAACACCCCCATGATACATATTCAAGGATATGAACATGTACAGCCAAGCACAATCAATAAGAGTGCATCTAAATTCCAAAATCAATCTCCATAATAGTCTATGTGTTTCCTACTGCCAAAGGGGCCCTTTAGAGTAGTGAGAGAAGATCTTCACCCTGAAACCCACAGCGTCCCTTTTCAGCAGGAAGTAGCTAAGAGAATACGCCATCCCCTTTTCCTTATGACTCAGGGTGAAGTCTCTCTCAGGGAGGAGTGATAGGGAATGGCAAAGGACACACTGACAAAGAAGATTAATCAGAACTGGCTTTGACAAGCACTGTGGCATTTGGACAAGAACAAACTGGGAGGAGGGTAGAGAGAATAGTGCAACAATGAATGAGTGGAAGCCCAAAATCTCTGTAAATGTTTATGAAAATTAATAAAATATAATTATAGAAAAAAAAAGAAAAATGCAAACGAAAAGGAGATATGATCTACTCCAGCAACACTGCTACTCTTCATTCCTGTTGAGTTGTTAGACCTGGCTCAGCTGGTTCTCCAGTGAGGTTCCAAGGATGCAAATCACATAGGACAAGACCGCCCATCTCTCCCCCATGGAGCTGCTGAGAGGACTCAAACTGGCCGAGATGTACCCCTTCTGAGTTAGCAGCTCATCTATCTCCCTACAGACTATGCCACCCGAGCCTCCTCCAACAACAACTGCCAAATTCACGCAGACAGAAAACAGCAAATCCTGGTGAGGGTGTGGAGAGATTGGAACTTTCTTACCTTGTTAGTGGGGATATAAAATGGTGCAAACACTAGGGAAAGTAGTTTAGTACTTCTTCAGAAAGTTGGAAATAGAAATGCCATTTGATGACCATTTGAACTTAGCAAATCCACTACTTTGTATCTATCTCAAGGAAATAATAGCTGTGACATTAACAGATATGCACACACCCATGTTGTCTGCAGTATTTATAACAGCTAAGAGAAAGCCCAGCTATTCATTAATGAATGAATGGCTAAGGAAACTATGTTACAGTCACAAGATGCCTTACTGAGTATCATACAGAGTTAGTGAAACCCTGCCCAACATGGGTGGCTCTAAAAGAAATTATGCCGAGTGACAAAAGTCATCACCAAAGGACAATTTTAATATAAGACTAAAACGATGAAAAGCTAAAGAAAGGTATACACAGGGGTAGAAAGGGAGAGAGAGAGGGTGAAAAAAAATTAATAAATAGTTAAGTTGGGTAAAGGGAAATTCAATATGCAATGTTTATCTGATGTTATAATTAATTATAATGATCATCATTATGTGTCATTTTGTACTAAAATGTGTGTGAATGGTTGAATAGAAAACACAGTATGATTTGTAAATTTTCACCCAAAGATAAAACTCACACTTAAAAGGAACAAAGTTGAAAATGTACAGTCATTCCAATCATATTACATGCAAACTATTCCTCAATTAAGTTGATTTGAAGAAAGGAAGTCCCCCTGGATGCAAATGACTTTCCAAGGGCATCCACAAAGCACCCCCTCATCTGCCTGAAGAAGGAAAAAGTGCACGTAGAAAGGGGAAATCTCAGGGCTCAAGACTGAGGACGGAGATTTAGATCTCACCTGGACTAGATAGAAGCCGTTGACTGAACGCAGTTGCAAGGTGGAGCTGTCCTTGTTACACTCAAACTGGAACAAGGACATCGGGGTTAAGCGATCTGCGGTAGCATATACCTCAAAATCTGCAGGGGAAGAACAGGTCAGATGCAGCCAGAGTTCTGTTCTTCCCCTCAGTTTTGACACTTCCTCCCTACTTTGTCACTGGGGACCCCTTTGCTTTGTCTCCTAAGCCTTGAGCCCCTAGAGTTGGGTTAAGTATTTAGTAGCTTGAAAACACAAACGACTTCCTCCTGAAGCTCAAAACCCCATTTTTTTCTTCGTGGTACCAAGGACTCCTTGGGGCCTGGTTGTTGTTGGGTGCCACAGAGTACAATTCAGAGCAACTCTGTGAACAGGAACTGAGCCCTATACTATCCTGCCATGGAAACTTAGGGCCTTTCTTACAAAAGGTTCAACAATCCTTGCTCATTCCAGACACACTTCCATTTTCTCTGCCACCACCCTCTGTCCCTCCCTGGCCATGATGGGCTCAGCACTTGCCGCAGACCGAGACAAGCTTCTTCGCCCTTGACTTGAGGGTGACCCAGGCGGGGCAGTGCTGAAGGACGAACCACTCTTCACCATGATGGGGCCTAGAGCCCAGCCCCAGGAGCAGCCGTGAGCCCTGGGGGTACAATATGCCCCCTTCTCCATCGCTCAGTGCCACCAGCCCTCTGGGCCGCACTTGCATGTGGAAGGCTGTCTGTGCCGAAGGCTGGGAGACCAGCCTGTCCAGGTGGGACAGGAAGTGGTGTGTTGAGGTCTCCAGGTGGTAGCAGCCATCCTGGAAATGCAGCAGGAAGCCACATTCCTCCAGGCAAGGGATTGGCGTGTCCACCCAGATGCGACCCACCGTGGGGTCAGCCCGGGCATAGCAGCGGTGGAGGGGGTTGTAGAGGGTCACGTGGATGTGCAGAGCTGGCCGAGGGGTCCACATGTGGTAGGCTGAGAGCACCCTGGACTTGCAGAACACGTCCTCGCCTTCCGACTCCAGGTAGTGCCCGGTGAGGACACACTGGAGGGTCCACTTGCAGTTCCGGTGGAAGCGTAGCAGGAAGCACCCATGATGGTTGCCCCTCGGTTGCCCGTAACACACCGAGCCGTTCCCTTCGGACAGCAGGTAGTGACCCTGCAGGCTTCGGAGTCGGACCACAGCCTGTGAGTCATGTTCATTGCACACCAGGAGCTCCCACGTCTGATGGCATTGGAGGGAGAGGTGGGAGGCCAGGTCACCAGGTGACCTTACCCAGTAGCCTGACAACCGACCTGTCACCCCTGGTCTCACCTTCCCGACCTGGCAGCCCTGGGGACTTCTACTCTTCTCAGACCTCCCATCCTCCCAACCAGCGATCATCATAAGGGTCTCAGGGCACGCCAAGGCCTATGGCCACAGAGCTTCTCAAAAACCACAGACAAGAACCTCTGTGCTCTCTTCCTCCAAGTACCAGGAGGCAAAAACTCCCTTCTTGACCTGCTTTGTGGGTCTCGTTGTCTACCATCAAGTTGGAGCCGACCTGAAGCTGACCCTCCAGTGGGTTTTCAGAGGCAATAAATGTATCACACAGGGACAGTGCCTATCTTTCTCCTGCAGAGCTGCTGGTGGATTAGAATCTCGTACCTTTGTGTTGGCAGTGCAACACCTAACCACCAAGCTCCCTTCAGTCGTAATTAATTTCTTAAGAAATTCTCTGGGTTTGGTCTTGCTTCTTTCCTTCTCACTGATGGACATAGAGCAGACAGAGCACTCAACCAACCGCCATCACCAAGGCCATTGCCAAGGCCACCTTGCGAGCCAGCAGGAGCAAAGCATGACTCTCAGCAGTGGTCCAGGCTCCCCAGGGGCTCTCGGAGGTGAGCACAGGGGCAGGCCTCAGAGATGGGTCGCAGTGAGACACGTCAGAGGGCTGCACTCCTGCCCCATCCAGCAGCTGCCTCAGAGGTGCCCGTGCCCTTCTCTAAAATGTAGGCCACCCTCCTAGGGCTGCCTAGTCCACTACTCTTCAACACTGCCACCCAGGACTGCAGACTTTGCAGCCACTCTACTGGATCTACTTCCCCTGGATGACCCTCCAACTCTCCTCTCGGATAACATAACCCCTCTGCTGGGATGGCACGTAGAAAAGCCAGAGCAGGACAAGGCCGGAAGGCTAGGCTGAGGCTTCCCTCATGGAACACGTTCAGACAGGGGGAACAGAGCAGTGGGGAGCCCTGGGCAAAAGCCTGGGGTGGCAGGGTCTTGAACTGGAAATGACAGAGGTTAGGTGAGGGTTAGGTGGAAGGCACCACTCTCACTCCTGAGGGTGACCTGGGCCACTTGGGAAGTTGGGTCCAGCACACGTTTGCCTTGTTACCTGTTTCTTGCCCAAACCCTTTGCTGTAGCACTGACTCTTTTCTTACAAGGCTCAAAAGTCAGGTAGCTTCCCGCCCAGTTGATGAGCCCAACCCTCAGGTCCTTAGCCTTGGGCTGCTTTGGCACCCATTCCATCTCCTCCATGGGGCCTGTGCGGCAGGTGATGACTCAGTCCAGCCCAGCCTACCCCCCAGTGGCGAGGTTCCATAGGCCATAGGGCCCAGGGGAGCCCCAGAGCAGTGCTCCCAGGCAGAGGCTGGCCCAAGACCCTGAGCCTCTGTGACCCGGGAGCATTGTGACTATGGGAGCTGCCTCTTGTCTCTTCACAGTGGGAAAAATGTACAGGCCCAGCTTCAATCCATGGCCCAGAGGAAGTGGATTTGGGACTGTGGCCTGCATCTCTGTGCCCCATTCCTAGAGGTCAGCCGACTGGAATCAAAACCTCTGTGCCCACCTCTAACTTGAGGCAAGTCCTTCCCCTTCTTTACCTTCCCTCATTTTAATAAAAAGGATAGAAATCAACCACTCAACTCCCTAGAAAAGTGGTTGGGCTTGGATCCTTGAGGACTCAAGTTCCAAAAGGAGCTCAAGGTAACCAAGAAAAAGATTTATCACATCTCAAGGACCCTGGATGATGAAGCCATCATGTCTTAAAAGGTACTGTTTAGTCTTATTGTTGTTGTTAGGAATAGACATAGGAAAACCTTCATGCATAATCTGGTAACACTGACTACGTTCTTCAAGGTGTCTAATCACTCTCACCTCCCCCCTTCCCCAAGTTGTTCTTCCCCCATTAGGATCATCTCACTGCATCCTAAACTTCTCATTTAATCTTTCAAGTTGCTGAGTCAATTTGACTCCATGTAGCTAGCTCTTAAAAGAACATAATCCTCAATGGATATTCTTGGTTAAGTTAATCTACTGTTTCCAGTTTCAGATTTAAAGTTGATCTCTGGATAATTATCTCAGGGTCTATCCAAGCTCCATGACTCCAGGTAGTCTGGATTCTTTTAAGAATTTGAAATTTCATTCAGTGTTTTACAAGTTCTTTTCCAGTGGATAAGCATAAACTGTTCTTATTACTCAGGATGGGGCATCTTAAGAGCGATAGGATAATGGCCCAGGTCAAAGGGACCCACCTGCCAACTCATGGGCACTGCTGGTGGCTGGTGTCCAGCTGCCTAGAATGATCTCAGTTCTTTCTCTCCAGAGTCTCTGTGTGCTAGTAGCCTCTGGGATTGACCTTTTGCAAAGATTATGGAGAAAACCCTTCCTGAACTGGAGAACTTGACGATACAAGAGAGGAAGGGAGAAATGGTGAGGGAAACAGAGTGTGTTTTAAGTTTTGCTAGGATTCAAAGGGAATGGGAACTGGGTGCCATCAATAAGACTGAGGGAAGAGGTCCCCATGGTGCTCAGCAAAACACTGTAATCTCTAAGGCTCTACTGTTTTTTAAAATACGGTTAATAGATTGCTAGTGTTGGACTGGTCTGGGTGATGGTAAAAGTGCATCTACCTGGGCTTTGGCCCAGTCCTAATGAATCTCTTCCCAAGGCACACAGTGTAAGTCCTCACATTTTTAACACATTCCTTCACCCTCAAATCTTAATGTGTTTAGCAGTCAAGTACCACCCCCCTGAGAGACTGTGTGAGACAGATGGGAACTGTGTGGTTTGCAGAAGTAGGAAGGCACCTCCTGACACCACCAGCAAAAGGCCTCTTGATTGGAAGGAATGGGGTTTCTTCACTGGAACAAAGGGTTCTTAATCTCAAGAATAAGAAACCACACAGATGAGAGCAACTATGTAGGGAGGAGATGGGCTCTATGGCCTTAGCTGCTTTGAGTCTCCTCAATATTCTCTCTCTACGCCCAAAACCCCATCCCCGCACTTCTAGACCATCAACACCACTGTGTACAAACCACAGCAAATTTATTACTTAACATCCAGTGCCACGTCATAGCACCACCTGGAGCCCTCGCCTTCCCCCCACCCCTCCTGGCTCCAAGGGTACACCTCAAAATGGAAATCAAACCCCAAAACCCCAACAAAAAACCAAACTCAACCAAAAAAAAAAACAAACAAAAGCAAACCCAGATCCCTGCTCCTCCTTTGAAAGCAGGGCCTTGATCCTGGGAGGCCCTGGCACAGGCCCCAGCAGGCAGGAGCGGACCCCTCTGTGCCCAGAGAGCACGCTCCAGGCTCTGACGACAGAGAGAACATGCAGGCAGGAGCAGGAGCAGAGGCCCCAGCTGGTGGGGGAGGGAGGGGGGCGGGCACTGCCTGAGGAGTCTGGGAGTCAGTCACCCCGGGAGTCAGCCATCCCTGGGGTGCACACGCGGGAGCTTCCGGGCAGCAGGGGCCTGCCCCTGGCGGGTTAGCGCTTCGACAGCTCATGGGACAGCCAGTCCAGCCCATCGTACAGGCCGGTGCCTTGGGTGGCACAGGTGGCCTGGACGTACCACTGTGGGGAGAAGGAAAAGAACGAGGTTAGCACTGGGGAAGGGCCGGAAGCAGCCTGATAATACTTGCCCCAGCCTGCAGCGCCCCAGGGAGGCTGGGTCTAGGGTGGGCTGGGTGGTCTCACCGTGCGGCTGCGCAAGTGCTGGAGGCCCAGCTTGTCGGTCAGCTCGCTCACAGGCATGGCGTTGGGCATGTCCTGCTTGTTGGCAAAAACCAGCAGCACCGCATCCCGCAGCTCATCCTCCTGCAACTGAGAGGAGGACAGGGATGGAACCCTGCTCCCTCCCCGGAGCTTATTCACCAGAAAACAGAGTATCATGCTCTCTGTTGCAGGGTGCAAGTGGAGTTCTGGTGAACTTGGGGTCATGTGGACCTCTGTTGATGCAAAGGTGAAGGTGTGAGTCCAGTGAGAGGCTCCTCAGAAGAAAGGCCTGGTGAGCTACTTCTGAAAAGTCAACTGCTGAAAACCCTACGGTGTACAGTTCTACACTGACACAGAAGGTCACTGTCAATTTCATAGCAACTGGCCTCGTCTGAGGCCAATGAGTCCTCAAGCTTGGGAAAGGCCTCTCGTGAACTGTGCATCTACTGTAATTAAAACGGCAAAAATACCCAAATGGAAAACAAGTAGGTATGCTGATGCTCCTCTCCACCAAATACAGTGTCTCCCTCCCCGCCCATGAGATGAGAATCCAAGGGGGGAAAAAAAAATGAGCCCTGTGCTTTATCTTGGTACCAGACAGGGTGTGATATACAGTGTCTGTATTTCCTAAAGAAACCCCCTGCACATCTCGGGCCCTTCCCGGAGCTCCTGACATTCAGACTAGCGCAGAGACCTCCCTGCCCCCTTCGGAGGGCTTCATTCCAGGATGTGGGGTGCTCACCATCTTCTGGAGTTCATCAGCAGACTCCTGGACCCGCTCTCGGTCATTACTGTCTACCACAAAGATGAGGCCCTGAAGAGAGGGGAAAAAGGAAGAATCAAGCAGTTCTGAATGGGGCATACCCTCTCCTGGACCTCTCCCTCCCTTTGTAATGTGTGTACACCCTTCCCATCAATAAGGTCCCACTCAGGCTCTTGTGGAGATCCTGGCACAAGCTGGACACCCCACAGTGAAGGAGGCAGTGCTCGTCCTCAAGGACAAGCCATTCTCCTAAAACGTGGGCAAAAGAGAAAAGGCAGTGAGGGGTAGTAAGAACACAATCAGGGCTGGAGATCCAGAACTTCGCTTCTCAGAGAAGCCCAGGGCAGCAGTTATCTGAAGATACTTGGCAGTTAGGCAGTGCTGAAGGACCAGAGGAAGCCAGGCAGCAAAAGAGCACGGAGGGAGACAAAGGCTGTTTTCTGGCCTGGAGGCTGGGGTCAGGCTGCCATCTCAGCCCTCCAAGCCCCAGTGTCTCCCAGACTGCGGAGTCCCACACCCACCTGAGTGTTCTGAAAGTAGTGCCGCCACAGAGGTCGAATCTTGTCCTGGCCTCCCACGTCCCAGACTGTGAAGCAGATGTTCTTATATTCCACTGTTTCCACATTGAAGCCTGAAGAGCATTGGGGGAAAAACCAACCAGAGAAAAATCCTTTAAGGAAGGAACTCACTAAAATTACCTGGAGCTCAGCAGTGACATCAAATCTGATGGCAAGGGCCGTGGCCCGGGGACCAGAACCTCAGAGGACCGCTGGTCAGCTGCGAGGCGGGGCTCCCCATATCCACCCTCCTCGGGCCCCATCCGGCACACAGAGATACCGTGACCCACTTCTCAAGTGGCTGTATCTGGTGTCCGGGTCATTCCCGGCACGGAGATAAAAAGCCTCCGGCAGAGCCTGGCGCGCCTGCTCCACCCGGCCTCGCCCCCCTCTCCATGCGTACCTATGGTGGGGATGGTGGTGACAATCTCCCCCAACTTGAGTTTGTACAGGATTGTGGTCTTGCCAGCTGCATCCAAGCCAACTGCAAGGGAGAGGAGCAGAGGAATGGAGATGGGTGCGAGGGGGCCCCCTAGAGACAAGAGCCCGGGAGCGGCCAGGACCGCGGGCGGCGACGGGGGCGGAGAGGCGGCGCCTCCAGGTGCGCGCTGTTTTCGGCACTCGGGGCCTTCGAGGGGTCTGCAGGGGGGGTGCCAACGCCGGGCCCGCAGGTGGGTTCGAAGGGGATAACTGGGGGCAGGGGACACGAGACGAGGCCGCGCTCCTTTGAAAAGTCATCGCCAAGAAAAGCATCCTCCCTTCTCACCAGCCAGGCTGGGGAGGAGGGAGCTGCACACACCCAGGCCCGGGCTCCAGGCCCCGGCGGCAGCACTGCAGCGGGGACCCGCCGGGAAGCAGAGCCTGAGCATCTAGGAGGTGGATGAGGCGGGGTGGGAGCCCCCCGGGTGCTCCCGGCTGGAAGGCGCGGGGGCGGGAGGGCTGCTCGGGGCCGCATCCTTGCACCAGGCCGCGCGTTAGGGCTGCCTCACCCATGAGGATCCGCATCTGCTTCTTCCCGAAGATCCGCGAGAAAAGCGCGGACACGGTGAGGCCCATGGCGGGGCCCGGGGGCGCGGGCGCGGGGTGCGGGCTGGAGCCGGCCGGCCGCGGGGGGGATGGGGCGCAGCAGCAGAAGGAGGCGCCGCCGCCGCCTCCGCGCGTCCCGGCCCGCCCTGCGTCACCGCGGCCCGCCCCCGCCGGGCTCCGCCCCTTCAGGTCCCACGGACCGCCCCTAAGCCCGCCCCTCGCGTCACTGTGCCCCCCTTGCCGGGCTCCGCCCCCATACGTCACGCCGGACCGCCCTCGGGCCCCCACTCGTCACCTATTCCCTCCCCTGACAGACCCCACCCCTCGCGTCACCGCGGCCCCGCTGGGCTCCGCCCCCTCGCGTCGCCGCGCCTGGGTCCCAGGCCCACTGGTAGACCATGGTGCTGGAGAAGCAAACGTCTACTAAAGGAGAGGGTCTGGCTGGTGGATGGACGTCCTCCTGCAGTCCATTCTTCTTCCTCTGATGTTCACCTGGCTTCAGTAGCCGGCACCTGAGGTTTTGAACGTTGCCTACAGTATCCTACTCTGGACTCTGGGTTATGCCTGGGCAACATCGACTGTATGCACCACCTTGTTGGGTGCTAGTCAAGTTGGTTCAGACTTGTGCCCGGTCCTCCCAACCATTGTTAAGCTATTGTTACAGCCACGGCATCACCCTCTCCTTACAGGTCTTCCTCTTCCGGCTTTCCTGGTAAAGTGTAAATTTACATGAAATGAAGCCTTGTCATCCTCCCTTTTAAAGAGCACTCTACGATTCTGAGGCAGGTTCTGAGGCAGGTTATTTTCTTATGAAGTCCATGATATGTTCTTTATTCGTCACTTACATCATAAGTCATCAGAAGGCATAAATTCTTCAGGCTTCCTTATTCATTGTTCAGCTTTTGCATGCGTTTGGACAAATTGAGAATACCATGGCTTAGGTGGGGATTCAATTTAGTCATCAAGGTGACATTTTGCTTTTTTTTTTCTTTTTTTTAAAAATATGGAATGCTTCACGAATTTGTGTGTCATCCTTGTACAGGGGCCATGCTAATCTTCTCTTTTAGTATATGTGCTGCCGAAGGGAGCACGACATTTTGCTTTTAAAAGAGGTCTTTTGCAGATGATCTGTCCAAAGCAATATGCCACTGATTTCTTGACTGCTGCTTCCGTGACCACTGTCATGGATGTGGACACAACCTCTGGTGGACTCAGCTCTCATAAGACACATACTCTGGCGGTTAAATAATTTCACTGTCAATCCAAAGACGTATCCACTAGTTGCTCTTTGGGAGAAAGATGGGCAATTTCCTCCCATGTGATTTATGTTGTTGTTGTTATGTACCATCAAGTCACCTGCGATTCATAGTGACCCTGTGTACAACAGCTCTGAGCCCCGCTCCATCCCGAGCCAACCTTAGTGTCTCTTGACACACCTATCCCCATGACCCCAGTCATTGTGTCAATCCATCTCATCCATGGCCTTCCTCTCTTGCGCTATCTCTCCACCCTCCCAAGCATAATGTCCTTCTCCAAGGACTAGTCCGTCCTTGCAACATGCCCAAAGTATGTCAGATGGAGCTTAAGAATCCTTGCCTCCAAGGAGCAGACTGGTTTCACCCTCTCTAGGATGAACCTGTTTGTTCTCCTAGCAGTCCATGGTGTATTCAGTACTCTTCCCCAGGACCACAGCTCAAAGGTATCAATTCTCCTATCATCTTTAGTCATAGTTCAGTCTTCTGATGCATAGCATGTAATTATGAAGACCATAGCCTGGATCAGGTTCATCTTAGTCTCCAGACTGACATTATTTCTGTTCAGTACTCTGGAGATGTCCCTGATAGCAAACTTTCCCAATGCAATTAATCTTTTACTTTCTTGGCTGCTGGTACCAAGTATGTTGATTGTGGGGTCAAGCAAGCTAAAGCTGCTAACAATCTCAAGCTCCTCATCATCTATCATGATAGTGCCAATCAGCTCAGGGGTGAGAATCTTTGTTTTATTGATGTTGATCTTCAATCTATACTTAAGGCTGCAGTCCTTGATCTGCAGCAAGTGCTTCAGGTCCTCCTCAGTTTCAGCCAGCAGGGTTGTGTCATCTGCATAATGCAGATTGTTGATTAGTCTTCCTCCAATCCTAATGCCACATTTCTCCTCATAGAGCCCAAGATGATCTGTTCTGCATATAGATTGAAAAGGTATGGAAATAGGACACATCCCTGGCATACACCCTTTTCCAATATAGCTTCTGATAAACCCAGTGGCGGGTCAACCAAGAGTTAGTCCCAATTCAATGGCAATGTAGGAGTTATATATTGATATAATAATCAATTATGTAGTCTGATGTTATAAGCCACTCAGTTGTAAGGAGATATAACACTCTGATCAGATGGAAGGGGAGTTTCCTTGGAATGTGCACCAGAGATAGAAGCTGGCAGAGAAAGAAGGACCTAAATACCAGTAAGAGAAAAGAACAGGGAGCAGAAAACGTCTTGGAGGAAGTTTCCTGCACTGGGAAATGCCTAAAACCAGGAGACACAGACTTCCCTGTGGGCAAGTGCCCTGAATTTGGACGTCTAACCTCCTAAGCTTGGAAAGTTGGAGGGTAGGTGAAAGACAGGAAGACCAGGTGGATCGACACAGTAACTGCACCAATTTGATTTTGGGAGTCTTTTTGGAAATGGAAGCCTGTGTCACAAGAGCAAAGGAAAGCTGTATACTCACTCACACCTGGACAGATCTGTGGTCTCAAGCTTTGTGGTTCAGGATGGGGTAGGCTCTGGAGGTCTGTTCTGGTGATTCGAGTATGTCAGAGATTGTGAGAATGCTACAGGTTAGGACAGGGTTCAGATCTGGTGTTCAGAGGGTTGCTCTGAGTCGTACTCAACTTGACTGCACCTAAAAACAATGACAACTATTTGTAAGGGAATAAAATTCTAGTTGTTAAAACCAACCACTTATGGTATCTGCCACCCCAGCACAAGATAACCTAGAGGAAGCAACCTGAAGGCTGTGCATTTCTGGCAGCAGTTTTAAATCAGTAAGGGCTGTGCAGGTGGAAGATGGGCAGTCTCCTCCTCTTACAGTGTACAGCCCTGGAAACTTGAAGGAGAATCATTATGGGCTGGGGCTGACTTGATGGCAGATCCTAGTAAACTGTTACGATGTTCCTTACTGTGAGGATGTTTGTTTTATATTGAGGTGTATTGTAAGGTGCACCAAAGGCTTCTCTGAGCTTTAATCTTCATCAATAAGTGCTTCAAGTGCTCTTTGTTTTCAGCAAGCACGTTTGTGTCATCTACCAATGAGCAAAAACTCCCTATAAGGGGTTTGTTCTTACCTTTGACTCCAGCAGAGTTGTTGCACATAGTTTGTGACTATAGAGGAGTGTGGTAGAGGTGAGAGGAGATGCCTAGGACAAAGCTACTGCTCATGGTTCCTTATCACCCTTACTTCCTGTCCCTCCATCAGCACCAGTGGAATTTACTCAGCTGATAACAACTATGTCTTTGCCTCCAGCACCTGAGAATGTTACCCTGCACCTTGAGCCCTGGAAGCCTCTTCTGAACTTCCATCCTCACTTTGGCACAGAACTAGGGACCTGCATTCCTACCTCAGATTTTGGGAGGGTCTTGCCATCTTAGAATCAAAGACCTTCATAATTCTCACCTCTCTTTAGCATCCAAGGGGCATAACAAGGCAAGATGATTTTTCCCCCTAAGGTGAAGACTGGCTCAACGTTGGGCACCTACTCTATGTTTACTAGATGCTTATTGGGTTTGATGGAACTAGTCATAGAGCAAGGGCGGAAGCGATCCCTATTCTGGATTCCTAATGTGCTTCTAGGATCAATTATTGAAGGACTGGACATGGTGAGGTGGCCTGGGAGTCAGAGAACCATCTTTCTTTCAACAAATGTTTATTCACTGCCTGCAGTGAGCCCTTACAACTTCAGGAGGGCCCAATCCTTGGAAAAAAACCATCTTGTTGGGAAAGGTAGAAGGTCAGTGGAAAGAGAGGAAGACCCTCAACAAGATAGATTGATACACAGGGACTGCAGCAGTGGGCTTGCGTGTAGCAGAAATTGTGTAGATAAGGTAGGTAAGGGCAAGGTTCTGATCTGTTTTATAGGGTTTCTAAGTGTGATAGGGAGCTCTGGTGGCCTAGTGGCAAGAAGCTGCTCTGCAATCCCAGAGGTGTGCGGTTCAAATCCACCAGATGTCTATTCAGTGGCAACCAACAACATTATGAGCCAGCACTGTTTCAGACCTTAGTTTAGATCTCAGTTCTGTCATTTTTGGAGGGTGTGTATTGAATAATATTTACAACTGTCCTACTGTTTTCTCATTGATGTTATTGCCATCAAGTTGATTCCTATAGTGGCGATCCCACATGTTAGAGAGTAGGATTGCTATAGAGGGTTTTCATGCCTACAGTCTTCACAGAAGCTGAATGCCAGATCTATCTTGACAGATACTGCAGCTGAGTTCGAACCACCAATTAGGAGATTACTATCCACAGCTCAAACAGTGCATACTAGGCCTGAACATTTGTGACTTTGTGTCCTGAAAGCAAGCTTTACTTCTTACATTAACAGTAGACATTACTGAAAATGAAACTTATCATAATGTTGTTGTGTGCCATCAAGTAGGAAGCAACCCGTAGCTGACCCCCAGTGGTTTTACAGAGGCAGTTAATTGCATGAGTGGGGATTGCCCATCTTTCTCCCGCAGAGCAGCTGGTTGATTGGAACTCCATGCCTTCAGGATTTCAGTGAAGTTTCTTACCACTAGGCCACCAGAGTTCCCTACTTATCATAATAGTGGCTGAATTACACCACCACACGAATTCCCATTATTGGTGTTTAGGAAATAATAATTTCCTGAAACTTGTAATGGAGATATGTGAATCTGGGGACACTGGGTCCCTGAATCACTTCTGCCAATAGAATCAAACCTTTCACTCTCATCTGAAGATACTATTTCATCTTTGTCTGCTTCGCCACCCTTCCCAATAAAATTATTATCCATTTCACTCCCATCAGATGACATTAATTTAACCGTCTGAAGAATATTACCTGGGGCAGTCTTACAAGACATGAGTAAATGCCTTGCAAGACATTTCTGAATGTCCTCTCGACCCACCTCCATCATTTGGTTCCTAGACCTAAAACTAGACTTAATCCCCAGCAAGTGCCAAGAGGTAAAATACAAAGTGTGATTCATGAGGAAGCATGCTTCAGAAGAGCCACAACCAGTTCAGGTGCTTGCTGAAAGCCAGGGAATGTGCAGTGGGTGGTAGAAGAAGATAGATCTAAATACCAGATAAGATCATATGATCTGTTGCAGAAATAAAGACTTGCTTTTACAATTTGTTCTTTTGTTATAAGTATCTGCATGCATGCATTTTTTTTCTTCCTCCCCTTATTGTATTCTCAAATTCATTGCTGTCAAGTTGGAACCAACTCATAGCTAATTCTCCTGCAGGTTTTTGAAGTCCGTAAATCACATGGGAGAAGACTGTCCATCTTTCTTTTGAGGAGCTACTAGCGGATTCCATTCTGTACAAAAGTGCGGCCTTTCGTTAACAGCTTAACTTTCTATGACTACCTCACCACATTCTGTTATGGTACTGGTCCTTGACTTATCAGAGACTATAAGACATAAACAGAGCCAGTGTGTACATGTTAAATGTGCCATGTTATGGCTGGTTGTGACTTTATAATTGTCTTCATTTAGGGATTAAGGAGCTCTAGTAGCATGCTTTACTAATATATGGATGGCGCTTCTGTCTAAGTTTGAACCCATCACGGGCTCCTCGGGACAAAGATGGGCAAAAAGCCTCAAGAAACCTGCTGGAGGCTCAGTTATGAGTCAATTACCACGCATGGCTATGATAATGAATTGATTTAGAGACTACATGTGGTTTTTAACGGAAAGGCTATAGTTTGTGCTGCAGTTTCGGACACAGATGTTAATGAATTGATTTAGAGACTACATGTGGTTTTTAACGAAAAGGCTATAGTTTGTGCTGCAGTTTTGGACACAGATGTTAAACCCCAAAGGGTGGGGATGTGTCTTCGGCGCTAATTTGGTTCAGAACACAGTACGACGTCGGCCTCTGTTGCTCGTTGACCGTAGGAGACTCAGGCGTCTGGACTTGACCAACCCATCACTCCTGGGTCCTCCTTTCTGCTCGCCCCGTCTCCCCAAGCCGAGTGTCCAGATCCCAGCTCCCTCGAGTCCCATCCACCCGCCCCCTTCACTGGCCCTAACGGCCACGCCCACCCCACGCCCACTGGGGGCGGGGCCAGCTGCGGCGTGCTGTCATCACTTCCGGCACAACCGGAAGTGTCGTTACAGACAGGTCGCAGCAGTTAGCGAGTCGTGATGGGGAGGTTGTCAGCGTAAACGGCGGCGCCGGGGCCGCGGGCACTGGTCGGAGCTGCAAGAGGCCCGGCGAGCAGGCACGCAGAGCGGCTTAGGGGCCCGAGCGGGTGTCTCCCATCCGTGCACTCCGTCCGGGCGGCGTCGCTCTGCCCTTTGGGCCCGGGGCAGGGCAGGTTGTCCTGCCAGGCTGTCCCACCTCTCCGCATCCGGTCCGAAGCTACGGGGAGAAGCAGGTGTGCGACTTGACAGTCACCTCCCAATCGCTTGCAGCACCTGCCACGTCTTCGCGACCCTCCCCGGATTACCTGGACGCTAACTCGGAACTCTCCCATGGAGAAGTTTGGGATGAATTTCGGGGGCGGGCCGAGCAAAAAAGACCTGCTGGAGACCATCGAGTCGCAGAAGAAGCAGCTCCTGCAGTACCAGGCACGGCTCAAGGATGTGGTCCGCGCTTATAAAAGCCTGCTGAAGGAGAAGGAGGCGCTGGAGGCCAGCATCAAGGTGCTGTCTGTGTCCCACGAGGCGGATGTCGGCCTCGCAGGTGTCCAGCCTCCAGGCCTCACCTTTCCCGAATCTCTTGATGACCGGTGTTCTACTCACAGCGAGGATAGCACGGGCACCGCTACCAGCTTGGATACTGCGGCCAGCCTCACCAGCACCAAGGGTGAGTTTGGGGTAGAAGATGACAGACCGGCCCGTGGACCATTGTCTCCCAAGTCCGAAGAGGCCAGCGGGTCGGAGAGTGGTGTTAGCAGTAGCAGTGGGGATGCGCCGTCAGGGGGAGTGGAGCCAGACAAACGACTGTACCAGCTGAAGACTCAGTTGGCGACTTTGACCAGCTCCTTGGCGACTGTCACCCAAGAGAAGTCCCGCATGGAGGCTTCTTACCTGGCTGACAAGAAAAAGATGAAACAGGACTTAGAAGATGCCAACAAGAAAGCCGAGGAGGAGAGAGACCGTCTGGAGGGGGAGCTGAAGGGACTGCAGGAGCAGATAGCAGAAACCAAAGCACGACTGATAACACAGCAGCATGATCGAGCCCAGGAGCAGAGTGACCATGCCTTGATGCTGCGGGAGCTCCAGAAGCTGCTGCAGGAGGAGCGGACCCAGCGCCAGGACCTGGAGCTCCGCCTGGAGGAGACTCGCGAAGCCCTGGCTGGACAGGCATATGCCGCGGGCCAGATGGAAGGTTTTGAACTTCAGACCAAGCAACTGACCCGGGAGGTGGAGGAGCTCAAGGCTGAGCTGCAGGCTCTCCGAAGTGAGAAGAATCAGCCAGACCCCCGCCTGCAGGACATGCAGGAAGAAGCCACCCGTCTCAAGAGCCATTTCCAGGCTCAGTTACAGCAGGAAATCAGGAAGGTAATTGTTCTCTTTCCCTTCCTTTGTCGTTTACCTGGATGGGGAAGTGGAAAGGCTTTTCCTCTGGTGGGAGTTAGCACTGGCATTTTTTATGTCATCCAGAAAGTTCGACTCCTCAGCCCTAGGAAATCCTGTTCTGCAGGATATTAGCAGTCTCTGTGGAGTGAGCTTCCAACAGGATGTGGAGTTTCTGAGTGGAGGCTGGGTGGGAGCCAGGCAGCTTCAGGCTTCTGGGCATTGGCCTGTCACCAGCTGTGCTCTGAAGTGGTATAGCAGCAGCAGCAGCATGTTGCAAGGTAGTGTGTGTAGGAGCTGTTTGTGGGGGCAAAGGGACTTTACCCCAGAAGGAACTACCTCTTGTAAATCACTCAGGATTTACCCATTCAGCAAAGGTATGCAGTTTTAAAGCATGGCCTTTTAGTGTGGAGAGAGGGCTAGTTTTTATACTTCTGGAAAGAGTGGAAGTTAAAAAGTCCTCTGCTTTATTATAGAGGGTTGAGAGGCATGTGATAGTCAAAGGTTTAACGCTTTATACCTGAGCTAGGCTTATAGTAGGAGAAGGCAGAAGCACTGAAGTGGAACAGTTGAAATATACAGAGGTTTGCTGTAATACTTTCCTGGAAGCAGAGCCCAAGCAGGTTACAGGAACGGCTGTTAGTACCAGCATTCCCAGAAAAGCCCTAGTCCTCATTCTTACCAGGCCAATGGAATTCCTTTGCCCCTTTTTCTTCTTCCTCCCTGCTTTGCTGTGGGGCAAAGTGGCATTTCTGTCTGTTCCCTTGTTTTGCAGACAGCCCTTGTCGAGGAACAGCTCCGTCAGCAGTCTCAGGTGGAAGAGCAGAGGGTGGCGGCCCTGGAGAACCAAATATCCGAGGTGTCTGAACTGCTGGGCACCTACGAGAAGGCCAAGCAGAAAGACCAGCTGGCCATCCAGAAGCTGAAGGAGCGCATACTGCAGCTGGACCTGGAAAACAAGACGCTGGCTCTCGCAGCGTCCAGTCGTTCCACCCTCGACAGTCACAGCGAGGAGTCTAGTCTGGACGTCAATGTCCTGAAGGACAAGATGGAGAAGCTGAAGAGGCTGCTGCAGGTTGCAGCCAGGAAAAGCCAGGTGACCCTGGACTTGGAGAAGCTGTGCAACCTGGAGCTGATACCCAGCTCAGAGGCTGCTGACGGGGAGAAGGCCACTGCACTGTACTACCAGCAGGAGCTGAAGCAGCTCAAGGAGGAGTTTGAGCGGTACAAGGTGAGGGCCCAGGTGGTCCTCAAGAGCAAGAACACCAAGGATGGCAACCTGGCCAAAGAGCTGGAGGAGGCCCAGGAGCAGCTGGCGGAGCTGAAGGAGAAGTATATCTCCCTGCGGCTGTCCTGTGAAGAGCTCGAGCACCAGCACCAGCAGGAGGCCGACGACTGGAAGCAGGAGCTGGTCCGGCTGCAGCAGCTGCACCGGCAGGAGCTGGAGCGCAGCCAGCTGGACTTCAGGGACCGCACGCTGAAGCTGGAGGAGGAGCTGCACAAGCAGCGGGACCGGGCCCTGGCTGTGCTGGCCGAGAAGGACCTGGAGCTGGAGCAGCTGCGCTCGGTGGCCTTGTCCTCTGGCCTGCCCGGACGCAGAAGCCCCGTGGGGGCCGGGGCTCCGGGAGACCCCGCTGATGCATCCTCCCCAGATAGCCTGACCCAAGCCCTGCATCTTGCAGCAGCCAACGAGCCCACTTTCTTCCTGTACGCTGAACAGCTGGCCCGCAAGGAGGTGGAGATCACCTCGCTGCGGAAGCAGAAGCACCGGTTGGAGGCTGAGGTGCATCAGCTGCAGGACCGGCTGCTGGAGGAGGGCGAGCGGCACCGTGAGGAGGTTGGGGCCCTTCAGAGCCACATTGAAAAGAACTTTCGGGACCAGAGCAGGGAGGGGGCCAACCTGGAGTACCTCAAGAACATCATCTACCGCTTCCTGACCTTGCCGGACACGCTGGGCCGCCAGCAGACCCTCACAGCCATCCTGACCATCTTGCACTTCAGTCCAGAGGAGAAACAAGTGATAATGCGGCTTCCATCCAGCAGCAGCTGGTGGCCTTCGGGCAAGAGATGATGCCATTTTCACAAACTCTGAGATTTCTGTGCCTCTTTTAGAAAAGTGGGAAGGGGTGGATTCTGGCCTTCAACTGCCGTTTTAAAGTTTCCTTCTTCATGTGCTGGGAGCTCAGAGGAGTCTTTGATGTGGGGTGGGATTTTCTGCCAAATGCCCTTCATACCGCTTTATCCTTGGGCCTTGGGAATGAGGGGACTATGTAGGGATAGCATCTGTTGGTGGTGTGAGTGTGTGTGGTGGGGGGGGGACAGGGGCAAGACTTTTTTAAGATGGAGAGATGCAAAAGTTTAAGATAGACTTTTTGCTTCAATATTAAGCTCCTGGCCCAGAGCTAGGAGTAGCTATGACTCCAAAGGGAGTTTTGTGAACTTACTTCTGCATGGGCAATGGCTTACTCATCCAGGGTATAAGGACCAGCCACTTAATGCCATCCCATCAGCCTGTCTGGCCCACTGCTTCCCCAATTCTCTGGGGACATCAGCCCAGGCTGGAAGGGGAACAGGAAGTCTGAAGTAGTGACACATTGTCCATTAGTCCTAAGGGTTAAGTAGTGATCAGTCCATCCAGGGACTGAGAAGCTTGGTCTGTTTAGGTCCTGGGGCAACCAAAGCAATCTAGACCAAACACAGCATTTGTGACCAAACGAGACGGCCCCAGCACCATGTGGATCTTACAGATTTCCCGGGTGACCTGTTGTTGGCCTGGATAGGGTTAAAGTAGCCCGCTTACACTTGGCCCACCTTATGCCATCTGCCTAAGGTTGGCTTGAGCTCATGAGTAAATGGCACTTCTATTTTCTCCATAGTATTGAACTTTTACTAAGAAAGAAAATCCTGGCTTCTCACAGAAGAGAGGCAGATTGGTCAGCTTTAATCCTGCACATATACAAGGACAGAGTTCAGGGATTTACCCCTGTCTGTCTCAGCTTCTGTAGGGACAGGGAAGATGAGAAATGTTTGCTGTAGAGGATTCCAGGGGTTGCTGGCATCACTCAGGATCATGGTGGGAGTCCAGCTAAGTGGTCTCGCGTACGTTCTGGCCTGGGCCAGCATTTGCAAAATTTCCAAATCCCTGCCACCGTGGTATTGATTGCTGATAGTGACCAGGGCGTTATGATCACTTCTTAAGAGAGGTAGTAGGTGTTTTGAGTCTGTAATCCTAATGCTCTACACAGGGGTTCTTGTAGACCCAATGCAGGAGCAGATTTCTTCTGCTCTTAAGGAAAGAGGGCTTGTCCGGGAGGCTGGAAAGAGAGACTCAAATAGTACCAGTGTCTCTCACTATCCCACATCTGCCCTTGCTGGTTAGAGAATTTTGGAGCTTAAAGACCAAGAGTTTGCTGCTAACTGGACTAATAACTATTTGTTATGTCTCCGTAGAGCTTTGTTTTGTGAGGACGTGGGTGCAGAAGACTTTTGATTCAATGTTCTGAATGGGAGATTAGGTGACATGGATGATCTATGCGTGGTGAATGAACGTAATAGAACCAAAGTGATGTGTCAAACTGTAAAAGCATAAACCATGGCTTCATTAAACCTGAGTGACTTGACCTGTGTCTTTCCTTGATGGTGCATATACATCTAGACACAGGGTGTGTGAACATAAGTGGTGATTGGAAAGGGGGAAAACCTAATTTCATGATATAGGTCCATGAGTTTGAGCGTAGGGGGGATAAAACCTCAGTGCTTTAACTGCCTCAAAGTCACACCCCAAATGTCTTTTCCTGGAATTGTGTGCATGTCGTCGTGTGTAGGTAGCTACACTGGGGAAACTTCCTCAGGAGTTCAGTGAATAGGATCGAAATGTCTTAGTACTTCAGACTCTGGATGTAATCGTGAATACTGTTACGCTTAACATGAGGAACCATGGAATCTTGGAAAAAGTTCCCAGAACACCAAGATGAAATAATCCCTCATTGCCGTTGAGTCAGAACCACTTCATAGCTGACCCTCCAGTGGGTTTTCAGGGGCTGTAAATCACACAGGGGGAGATTGTCCGTCTCTCAAAGAACAATGGTGGATTCAAACCACTTGTCTTCGGACTGGCAGTGCAACTCCTTGCCCACTAGGCTACCAGAGCTCCAGGAAATAATAATAGACTTTCTTAATTTCCTGACTTCGTTCCCCCTACATGTAGGCTATCTTGTAGTTGTTGCTGGTTTTAGGTGGTTGTGAACAAAATAGATCACTGGTAATTCCTGTGCTTTGAGTTTTGAGAAGATAACATAGAGACAAAGAATGGCAGCCAATTTCTGATTAATGATTTTAAATATCTAAAGATGCTTTCAGTACTCTATAGATACTGGTCCTTTTGTGTCCTAAGACACAGTCTAGAAATGGCATTAATGCAGATATGCATAAATTAAAAATTCCTTTTCTCCTCATTCCATCATTTGATGAGTTTGCCTGTGATAGATACTTTTAAGAAAGGGAGGGAGAACGAAAGATGAGATGGAAACAAATTTTCCTTGGGCCCTGTGCCCAGAAATTCATTAAGTGCCTGTAATGAGATTGAATTGTACTTGGCTATTATATACTGATAGGCAGGATTCACATTAAGTAGAAGAGATGAAAGGAGAATGTGACAAGTCAGGCTGATCAGTGGACTGTCAGCCATTTCTGCTCTGCTGTGGGCTCTGTGCGGTACCTCTGACTTGGGGGATAAATATGTCTATCATGTCCTTAATGTAAGTAACTCTGATCCAGAATTCGAGGACTCTCTGGCCTTGTTAAGTTGCTACTACAAGATTTCATTTTTGTCAAGTGGGCTAGGAACTTTGAGCCACTTATTCATAATGTCAGTCATTCCGATTATCCCACTTACCAGTGAGCAACAGACTGAGATGGTAACTTTGCCCGTGATGGTTAGCTGATGCCAGAAACAAGTCTTGATGGAGCAAAGCCTCCTCAGGACCCTGGAAGGTCAGCATCTTCAAGTGTCTTATCCCAGTGCTGAAAACTCAGTTGATCCGAATGAGGGAAAATCTCCAGATGGAAATTTCAGCCAGCAAGGATTCTGTGGGCAACAGCGGTTCTTCTTAAGAGTTCTAAACCTACTCTGGGCCATAGTTCCTAGATCATTGCTGATTTTAGAATTTAGATTATTCTAGCAAAAGAGACTGGATAACACACTGCAATAATATGTTCAACTGAAACCATTGGTGAAACTGGAGAACAGCTCTGGGAGTTGGAACTGGAACCCTCATGACCAGATCATTTTGCCTGATCTTCAGCCTCTTACGATCTTCTTCCTTCAGATCTCTGCCCTCTGTGGCACTGCCTTCATTCCCCTAGGTACCTGCTACCTGGGATTGAGAAGATTGAGAAGATTGAGACATTTCCGAGTTTTTATCTCAGTCCAACTTGACATCAGTGTGACCTTTGTTAATATGGGCTCTCATTTAATTTTCTTTTAGTGGAATCGTAATACATTTTCACAGTAAACAAAACCAAACCTACGTGAAGAGCCCTCAAGCACTGCACAATGGATGAAGCAGGTGCTAAAACACCTTTTTCTACCTGAAGGTTAAGTGGCAGAATTGGAAGTCAAGACAGGTCGTCTAGATTTTAGTCAGTCTTAACTAACATTAAAAGAATGGGATTGCCAGAACACTTAATGGTGCTCATAGGAAACCTAGACCTAGACCAAGAAGCTGATGTGTCAACAGAGCAAGGGAACACTATATGCTTTAAAATTAAGAAAGATGTGTGTCAGTGTTGTATCCTTTCTCCATACCTGTTCAGTCTCTATGCTGGCCAAATTATTTGAGAAGCTGGACTCTGAAGAATAGCATCAGGATTGGGGGAAGATTTATCAATAATCTTTATTATGCAGGTGACACAACTTTGCTTGCTGAAAATGAGGAGGACTGGAAATGAGGATTTGTTGCAGAAGATCAAACACAGACACCTTTAATATGGATTGTGTCTCAACGTCAAACAAAAATTATCATCACTGGACCAATAAATGAGATCATGATAGATGGAGAAAAAGAAAAATTTTCAGGGACTTTATCTTACTTGGATGCACAATTAATATACTTAATAGCAGAAGTCAGAAGATCAAGAGACATGTTACACTGGGAAAGTCTGCAATCAGGGACTTCTCCAAATATTGAGGAGCAATGATACTCATTTGAGGACTCTGGTGCACCTGATTCAGATCACGATCTTTTCAAGCACTTGCTGTGTTGCTGAGAGCTAAACAATGAAGAAGAATGACAGAAGAAGAACTTACACCTTTGAATTGTGTTGGCGAAGAGTACTAAATCATCATGACCCTGTGAACAACATAGATTTTTTTATAAAGCAGTTTTTAGGTTCACGGTTCTAAAGTACAGATAATTTCCTCTATTATTCATAGGGTGTTCAGAGGCCTACAATTTAAGAAGTGGATGGACAGTTTCACTTTTTAGTCTGTTTTAATCTGGAAGTTTTAGTAAAGCTTGTCCATCAAGGGTCACCCTTGTGGCATTTGACACACCAATGACATAGCTTTCAGCATCACAGAAACCCACAGTTACCTCAGTACAACAAACTGACAAGTGCTGAACTAATTAGAACAATGAATTTCCCAGTACAACAAAGGGACAGATTAGTGTCGTCAGTCTTAGAGCAAATCAGGCCTATAACCTGTTACCAGATCCAGTGGAGGCTCCTGTCCAAGTGGCAGGATGTGCTCCTGGGGTGAGTGTTGAAGAGTTGTGGTTAAGACAAACAACAGGCACCGGGGGTAATGTTCCAAATGTGGATACTAAGGTCTCTGCTGGATTGTTGATGCGGGTGCTTCACTTAGCCATCATGCTTAAAGGGGCTGGGTGATTAAAAACATGGTCAGGACAGGGTTCAGATCTGTCTTATTCGACTCAATGGCACCTTCCAACTCTAAAAACAACAGTATACTTTGAATGGGTGAGCTTTGTGATATGTGAATTGTATCTCAATATAGCTACTTAAAAATACTATTTAAATACTGTATACTATATATAGATGATACAACCTT